AAAAACACACTTAAGAAGACAAACAGCTTGTATAAATGGATTACCATAATTTCATATTTTATATCCTGCAAATGGAATTTGTAGCACCAAGCTAAAACAAACCATAATCACTACAACAAGCCTTTTTAAAGTGCCGGATCACTTGCGACTGAGGATCATTCTTCTTTTTTTTTTTTTTATCATACACCAATACTTTTCCCTGCTGTTCAAAATTGAAACATGGTATGCGAGGCATATTATAAAGGTACTTTCTATCTTCATATACTGTAGCTGTCAGTAAAACTAGCAATAAAATTGTTTATAAACCGCTCATGAATAGTTCTAAATAGGATCCAAACAGGAATGGTTTGTATTGAATCAAACATCTCAATTCAACAGTAACAGTGCTGTAAGTAACAGTGTGTTCCTTTATGTGGCATGCAGACGGTAACAATTAGAGTGTGCAACTGAACAGACTCAACTAGAACACATGACATTACAGTCATTACGATATGTAATGATCTAACTTAATCCAAAATACAGCAGTGATATTTCATTACCTACATGCAAATTTACTTATATCATGATTCATGTTAAAATGCCCCACAGGGACTTGAGGGAACATTTTTGATGATCTAAACAAATCAATAAAATCAAACTGATTCATGAAACTGCACTGTTTTATTAAAACAGCTTCAGAATAACTTGTATCGACTACCATATAATAAGCCATGGTGCATACTGTATGTGGATAACACTAGTTTCTTGTTTGCCCCTCTTCTCCTCAGAGGCAAAAATGCTTTTAAAAAAAAGGATCTGAACCTCTAGTTCATGAACTGTCCATCACTAGAAAGTCTCCTTGATCACTACTCTTTGATGTTTAGCTTATAGAACCCATCCTGTTAAATTAAGCTTGAATATGCTTGCATCCTGCAAGACCTACAAGTTCACAGAACCTCACATACTTTATTGAGTATGTACATTTTTTTATGTTTACTTCCCAACAAGCCCAACATAGCAGCAATGGCTCAGCCAATGTTATAATTTTGGGGCAGGTTTATCTAAACAATGGAAGACGGCGAGAACTGTTCGGGAAACCTGTTTGAATACAGTCATTATTTTTGCAATGCCATTTGGTGTATCGCTGTGGTCAAAAAATGACATGCGTACCTTTACATTTTACAAACGTATGTGACGTGAGAGGAGTTCAACTAGACTTCCAGACAGATGTGGTAATGCTCAAAAAAAAAAAACTACCCTTCCAAACAGATGCACTAATACTCAAGAAGTAAAGTAAGGGATAATGTACAGTCAGCCGGTCATTACTGCAAAATAAACCCTATATTCTGATCACCCTTTTGAGGTTTACGTTGCAATAATGACCGTCTCTGTACATTATTCGACTGTACATTATCCCACTTATTACACAGCTGCTTGAAAAATAAATAAATGGACATGAAGTATCGATTTGAGCTGAAATTATTTTATCATGTAAGAAGAAAAAGATGAAAGAGCTAGACTTGAAACTAGCACAGCCATGTAAGAAATTGGTTGTCAGTTGTGAAGGAAATGTTTTGATTGATCATAACTATTATTCCTTTTCCTTGCAGGCCTAACATTTGCCTGCTTTAGTTAGTGTGTTGCAATAATGGATGCATATGGACAAGATGGTTAGGCGTCTGTCTAAATATAAAAATAACCATAACAACCCATGACTTGAGTAACAAGCTGAAGTCATCAAAAACCAAATCATGTCAACTTTGCCATGCATCTTTACTAAATAAACTGTTGTACTTTTTTTGTCGTGAGGATTCTCTGTGATTGGTATGAGGTTCTCTCTGCCGTGATTAAAGCATTTAGAGCATATAGAGTTTGTCTATACCACACTCAAAAAGCTATTTTTTGCCTCTTGTTCAATTTAATTAATTAAAACGAGCTAAAGTAACATGAAAGTAACCAACTAAATTGTGTTGACCCAAATAAATGTAATTTATTTTGAATGAACTAAATTCAATTGTGTGCAAAAACTTTCTTCAATTAAATGAAGTAAGGGTAATGAATTATTTTTTTGAGTGTGCCATGCAGCAGGTTAGTGGAAGACTAGAGATTTTAGTCCCAAGTGATAGTGTTCAAAAGGGACAAGACGTCGTCTGACTCAATGCATCGCCAAAGATGCACCAAGAGTATAAATTTATTAGCGTCGCTTGAGCCGCTTTGGGGATACGTCGCCAGAGACGAGAACCCAACAGGCATCTTAAAGGGATAGTTCACCCAAAAATGAAAAGTACCCCATGATTTCCTCACACTCAAGCCATCCTGGGTATATATGACTTTCTTCTTTCAGACAAATACAATCTGAGTTATATTAAAACATGTCCTGGCTCTTCCAAGCTTTATAATGGCAGTCAATGGGTGTTGAGAATTTGTAGAACATAGGCATATTGTAAGTTCTGGTGAGAAGTGATGAACGTGGAAGTGCAGAGGAGAGAGCAAAACAAGACACTGGTCACGAATTAGAAGTACAAAACGAGGATTTGTAAAGAAAAATGGATTTCGATGTAAAGAGGAAACTGGTTTTCCTTTGCTGTAAACAAAACTTGGTTCTCTTGAGACTAGCATATTCTTACCGGAGCTGCTATATATTACTGCTGCTGCACATATATGTGACTCTGGACCACAAAACCAGTCTTAAGTCGCTGGGGTATATTTGTAGCAATAGCCAAAAATACATTGTATGGGTCAAAATTATAGATTTTTCTTTTATGCCAAAACTCATTAGGATATTAAGTAAAGATCATGTTCCATGAAGATATTTTGTAAATTTCCTACTGTAAACATATCAAAACTTAATTTTTGATTAGTAATATGCATTGCTAAGAACTTCATCTGGACAACTTTAAAGGTGATTTTCTCAATATTTAGATTTTTTTGCACCCTCAGATTCCAGATTTATATAAAATAGTTTTTTTTTTTAATTTATATTTAAAATAGTTGTACCTTGTTCAAATATTGTCCTATCATAACAAACCATACATCAATGGAAAGCTTATTTATTCAGCTTAAATATATTCAGCATTTATTTGCTTTAGTTGCAGAAAGTGCTCAGGTAACCACAGACCCGGCAGCCCTCGCATAAACACTCGCACACACATAACGAAGAAAAAATAAACAAAAACAAATTTACCCTAATGACTGGTTTTGTGGTCCAGGGTCACATATATGAAATAACCCCCATACATAACATACATGAAATTACCCCATAGTAGATCTATACAGGTGGAGCTGGGGAAGGTGGAGGGTTTCTGAAGTGCGCTGCAACTGCTACAGCAAGCACTAGCCAAGTATTTGAACGTTGAGCAGCAAGCTCATTCATTGGCTGCTGATGTGAAAAGAAACCAATCAGCTACTTCGTGTGAATAATGACGTGATTATTTCAGATTGAGTTAGAACCTATAGGCATGCGCCATCTAGAGTTTAATGACAGAATATATATAAATATATTTTTATTTTATTTTAACAAAATATACATTTCTTTTCCGTTTTTATTACTTTGTATCAAGTACAAAACATATGCAGACGTTCTGTTGCATTTCACTGTGCTTCATCTACCTGTATTCAAATCCAGGAATACGTCACAAACTCCTCACTCTTTTGCATTTCTATTCTCTCAACAGTAGCTTTAAGCACACACAAATGTAACTTTTGGGATAAATGCAGTTTTGCACTGATTGAGTCAATCTCAGTCCCATGAACTGGCTTGAAACTCAATCATTCAACCACTATATAATGGCTATTGAGTAGAAGTTCATCTTAAGAAGGTTAGAAATCTTTTTCAAAAAGAACCCTTAAACCATATGGTTTTGACAGTAATGCACATGCAGAACACTTGAGCTGATCAAGCCTTAAAGACGGAACGCATCAGTGCTATTAAACTCTTCTCCAGTTTCAGGAAGAGATTTTACTGCTAGCTTTCAGCTCAGTGTCATATAAGCACAACTTTCACTAGCAGAAGCACTTAGGACCCACACCTATAAATGGTATCAGAGATTAACGTCTGTGCAATAAGCACAAGGATTGTGCCTCTGTGATGTCTACATTATTAATATAAACCATATGCCGCTGAAGCTGAGGCAACCTGCTTTTTAAATAGTGCAGGTTTTCAAGTGCGCTCCGAGCAACCTTTAGTCTGCAGGTATGGAAAAGACATAAATTATTCAAAACTTAAGAAAATCACTTTCTCTCTCTCTTCATCCATCTGTCATTTTCTCACAGCTCTGTGTATTACGGGTCAAACACTTACACTTCGCTCAGACCAACCGCCAAACTCTCCTCTCCGTTCCTCCAAATTTGTTCTCTTGCATATGCAAACCTTAATACCCAAACATCATAATACCCCTCGCTTTTCCTTCCCTCCCCCTTCTGTCTCTCACACACACACACTAAGAGCATTAGGAGGTATAGCAAAAGTCATCACACATAATCCCCTTCCATGTGATCTTTGCCCAAATGTAGAGTCATTCAGTTTATTGGTCCGTTAAGAATATGTTTTTAATGATCCGTGGAGAACATTCTGTCATAAACAGTAATACTTTAAGCTCAGCATAATGCCCTGGAGCACTGGGTTCCCCGAACATCACTGAATGATCTAAAAAGCAGTAGTGAGGAAACCACAACAAAAATCCATGTCAATTCAGACAATAAAGCAATTGCAAATGCCTACTAATATATATATATATATATATATATATATAGCAAGAATGTGACAAATAGTAATATTAAGAACATGATGCAATGCTCCTTATCAAAAACATATTAATATGCTAGCAAAACAGCAGCTAAAAAGTGGGAATGTGCATGCAATAGTCTTCTGTATTAGCCTGCCTATGATGTACAATAACGGATTTCCCATCGATTCACATGCAGTTGTAGCTCGAGCGGATGACTGAACATAACAATGAAATTATTTTGTCATTTCCTCTACAATAACCGGGGAGCGGATGAGGCTTTTACTCCTCGCCTACCTGATCAACATCGCTGTCTGGTTCAGGTTAACAATCGGGTCTCACCGGCTCGGTACCGCCTGTGAATTCATCTATAAGCACCTGAGATATAATCCAGAAGCCCGTCCTCTCCCTTCTGATGATCCCCGGTGCTGGGCTGCACTATAAAAAGCACAAGAGCAGCAGAAGCACTGCGTGTTTCCAGCGCTTGTAAAGAGCTCGCAGGTCTTTCTCTTTGAGGATGCTGATGCTGATGCTGATGCTGATGCTGAAAGGAATTGCAAAAATAATCACTGTTTTCAACCATTGGTGAGTGTTGGATTTCTCAGAATGATCAAACAAACAGTGAAAGATTATTTCAACCTACGAATGGCAAGTTGTATTGCAAATATGTGTTTAATAATTGTTAAAAAAAATACATATAGTTTGATTGTCTATTGTACAAAACACAATAAAAAATGCTAAAATGTTTCTTGTTTTTTTATTTTAGCATCTCAGGAAGCGAGAAATATAGGGACACTTATGATGAACTATTTTAATTAACTGTTTATTGCAGCAGAATTCAATTATATGCAAATTGAGGTGCCATTTTTTCTAGTGGGCTGAATTTGAACAATACACAAAATAAATGCAGAATGAAATTTGTTTCTCTCTCATGCTTACTGTCTCTTTCTCTTTCTCTCTCTCTCACACACACACACACACACACATACACACACACACAAACACATACGTTCACAGTCACAAAGATGTATGCATCATCAGTACCCCAGTTCCCACAGTGATATGTAAATGAGGGCATTAATTTGCTTTAGTTGCAGAAAGTGCTCAGGTAACCACAGACCCGGCAGCCCATGCATACAAACACTCGCACGCACATAAAGAAGAGTTATTTCTGGAAACGTCATTAATCTACCATATATGTAAGGTTGTATGTATAATGCATCATACAAATAAAAAAATTTCAGCATATATAGAGGTATTCGATGCTCTTAATCAGAATGTCAGCATAAGAGCAGGGGACACTCGACATTTTACACCAAATTAACAGCGAGACACCAAACACATGCACTCACACGCACACACAACATCAGTGCTGACATTTAATTAATCTCGATCTGGCCTTTGAAAATGAAAGAGAAGAAGGAGTAACAGAAACTACTATCATCTGTGGTGTGTATCCTTCGGTGAACTGTTGATTAAAGATTATTCAGTGCTCTCATCACTGTTTAGAAGCTCGTACGTTTTCTGTGCGTGTGTTTTCTCTAAAAAGGTTGGTGCTCTGTAATCCTCACACTAATCTGATTTCTTGTGTTAGTGTGAGCATGTGAAAAAGAAATGGAAAAAACCCCCAACCCAACCTATCCCATCCCCCATATATTCATCCTTCCTATCTCTCTAACGCACACAAACTTGTGCACACACACACACACACACACACACAGAGGGCATTACTGTGATCGCATAGCCAGTGTCTATTTTTTTTGTCAGCCAAATTAAGTGTAAGAGACTTTCTCACATACTGATGAACTCCAGCTGACTTCCTAATACTGTACATGAACCCATCTACATTTATTTAAAATAAAAAACTAATAATTTAACAGACTAGCAAAGGAAACTGAGGGCTGTTAGTCACAATTCATCTATGTGTGAGCCTCTTCTATCATCTGTGATGTGTATCCTTCGGTGAACTGTTGATTATAGATTATTCAGCATTCTCCGTCACTGTTTAGAAGCTCATGCGATTTCTGTGCGTGTGCGTTCTATCAAATGGTTGGTGCTCTGTAATCCTCACACTAATCTGATTTCTTGTGTGAGCGTGAGCACGTGAGAAAGAAATAGAAAAAAACAACCCAACCCATCCCATCCCCCAGATATTCATCCTTCCTATCTCCCTCTAACACACAAACTCGTGCACACAAACACACACACAGAGGGCATTATTGTGATCGCATGGCCAGTGTCTATTTTTCTGTCAGCTGAATTAAGTGTAAAAGACATTCTCATACACTGATCAACTCCAGCTGACTTCCTGCTGTACTGTACATGAACCCGTCTACATTTAATTCAACTAAAAAACAACTAACTGAACAGATTTGCATAAGAAACACACATAAACACATGCACACAAAGAGCTGTTAGTCACAGTTCATCTATGTGTGACGCTAATCTATTCTTACAGTATGTTCAACTGAAGTGACCATAATCAGATATTTTAATTATATCCACACTATTGCACATCTAAAAACCCACTCTCTGTATCTCTGTCATTGAGTGATTGCATGTACACATTTATCATATTTTCTGTCCATTTAATAGTTGAATTTCATTGCATTAGATACAAAATATCAAACCAAGTTGCATCTGCAAATAAATAATTCTTTTTCTCAGAACATTTAATATTAAACTACACAGTATAAACATGTTCCACACTGTTTTACAACCGGAATGTGTGCACGACTTGCTAACCTTCATTTTGAACAATATATCTATTTTTTATTTGAAATGTATTGATTGAATTTTGTGTTTGTAGTATATTTCTTTAAAAATAAATGTTACTTGGTTTTATATTTAATGCAAAGACACTATACATTTGACACTATACATATACAAAAAATAAAATAATATACTATAATAATAATTTGTATTATAACAAAATATTAAGACTTTTACTCAGCAAAGATGCAATAAATTGATCAAAACTGGGATAACTGGTGTTGGATTGAGCTTGAGGTTATAAAGTGCACTTGATAAATGCATCAAGGTGTTCTTACCTGTTAGTGTCCCACATGCTGCTGGTCAGAGTTACGGAAGCTGATATGAGACAAAAAGAAGAACATACAGTATTATCATATCTTTCAGGTTTTAAAATGTTAAAACATCAGCCTCAGCAAGATACCAAACACATGCACTCACACACACACACACAACATCAGAGTGCTGACATTTAATTACTCTCGATCTGGCCTTTGAAAATGAAAGAGAAGAAGGAGTAACAGAAACTTCTATCATCTGTGATGTGTATCCTTCGGTGAACTGTTGATTATAGATTATTCAGCATTCTCCGTCACTGTTTAGAAGCTCATGCGATTTCTGTGCGTGTGCGTTCTATCAAATGGTTGGTGCTCTGTAATCCTCACACTAATCTGATTTCTTGTGTGAGCGTGAGCACGTGAGAAAGAAATAGAAAAAAACAACCCAACCCATCCCATCCCCCAGATATTCATCCTTCCTATCTCCCTCTAACACACAAACTCGTGCACACAAACACACACACAGAGGGCATTATTGTGATCGCATGGCCAGTGTCTATTTTTCTGTCAGCTGAATTAAGTGTAAAAGACATTCTCATACACTGATCAACTCCAGCTGACTTCCTGCTGTACTGTACATGAACCCGTCTACATTTAATTCAACTAAAAAACAACTAACTGAACAGATTTGCATAAGAAACACACATAAACACATGCACACAAAGAGCTGTTAGTCACAGTTCATCTATGTGTGACGCTAATCTATTCTTACAGTATGTTCAACTGAAGTGACCATAATCAGATATTTTAATTATATCCACACTATTGCACATCTAAAAACCCACTCTCTGTATCTCTGTCATTGAGTGATTGCATGTACACATTTATCATATTTTCTGTCCATTTAATAGTTGAATTTCATTGCATTAGATACAAAATATCAAACCAAGTTGCATCTGCAAATAAATAATTCTTTTTCTCAGAACATTTAATATTAAACTACACAGTATAAACATGTTCCACACTGTTTTACAACCGGAATGTGTGCACGACTTGCTAACCTTCATTTTGAACAATATATCTATTTTTTATTTGAAATGTATTGATTGAATTTTGTGTTTGTAGTATATTTCTTTAAAAATAAATGTTACTTGGTTTTATATTTAATGCAAAGACACTATACATTTGACACTATACATATACAAAAAATAAAATAATATACTATAATAATAATTTGTATTATAACAAAATATTAAGACTTTTACTCAGCAAAGATGCAATAAATTGATCAAAACTGGGATAACTGGTGTTGGATTGAGCTTGAGGTTATAAAGTGCACTTGATAAATGCATCAAGGTGTTCTTACCTGTTAGTGTCCCACATGCTGCTGGTCAGAGTTACGGAAGCTGATATGAGACAAAAAGAAGAACATACAGTATTATCATATCTTTCAGGTTTTAAAATGTTAAAACATCAGCCTCCAGAGGAGGGCAGCAGCAGTCTCACAGCATGAGATAATGCCTTAAAATCAACAGCAAAAGTTGTGCCAAACACAGGAGGATGGCCCCTGCTGTGTCTGCTTTCTCCTATGGTTTATTTGCACCTTCTATTTATAGATGAGCTATGTGAAATATACTATCTTCATCTATAATTTTAATGCACTACCAGATTCATAAGTACCACCTCTAATAAAGAGATGGAGAGAAAGGAGAGTGAGAAAAAGAAATGGATAGTTATTGAGCGCTTGAGAGGAGAGGGGGAAAACGATTGAATGCATCTAATGCAGCTCCAGTTTAGCACATTAAAACAGACAGATGCAGACCCGCACACACACACGAGAAAGAAGACATAAGGAGTGAATCAAAGAGCGAAAGAAAATATATGGAAAGAGAGGGAGTGAGAGGAAGAGATTGAAAGAGATAGAGACAGAAAGAGTGAGTTAGAAAACCGACAGAGGAAGAGGGAGAGACAGCGAGTGAGAGATGAGGTAAGTATGTATTTTTAGTGGATTACATCGTCGGTGTCAGAAAGAGTCGGATGCATCAGTGAGTAGCTCTCAATAATGCAGCAGTGTATGCACTATAAAACACACACACACACACACACACACGCTCTCTAACGCGCTAAAGCCGCTGAGGTTTTATGGTCATATTCAGAATTTATGTGCGCGGTATTTGCTGCGAGGCTTGACAGAAGCTGGTCAGAGAACTACTTCAGGACCAACTGTGTGAGAACACAGGAAGAGGGAAACAGGGGTGTGGGGAATACAGAAAGGCATTTGTATTTGTGACTCTTTTGAGTCAAAGAGTGAGCTGACTACTCAGGCTGCATTTTAGACATCTTCACATGCGATGGCTGTTCCACAAAGTATGCAGCATGACTGTGCCCCTTCTGATATTCCTAGTTTAGACCAAATTGTAAAGCATGTAAGCCTCCACAGTGAAAACTACATCTAGGCTGGTCGATGAAATGAGCGAAATGCTGACTATAAGCTACATTTATTAT